GGGGGGGGGGGTCATATCCAAACCTTGTGTGTGTCAGATGTGGAATTTACCTGGCAAACTTGTGCTGGCTGAGTCCCAGGACGTTTCCTCTGATCTCAGCCACTATCTTGCTCTTATCCTCAGCTCGGCCGTGCTCCAAAACATGCTGAATCACATAGTTGCCGTACTGGTCCTAAATCAAACAAACCACAGAGACACATTGAATAAACACGTGAGGACACCAGCTGGTGCTGCTGACGTCACGTCAAACACGCAGCTCGCTTCAAAAATCTGGACTGAGAGATGCTTTATTTACTCATCACTATGCTGGAAAACATAACTGTGTGTGTGTGTGTGTGTGTGTGTGTGTGTGTGTGTGTGTGTGTGTGTGTGTGTGTGTGTGTGTGTGTGTGTGTGTGTGTTACCTGCACCAGCTGCTCTGTGTGTTGATGGAGCTCCTCCAGTATAGGCAGCGTCTGTTCAGGAAGGCAGTGTTCGAGAATGCGCTGGATGACTCGGCAGCCATAAGGGTGAGTGGAGAGAGCAAAGACCTGAGAGACACACATAATTACACATGTTTACTTATTCAACGCATACACTAAGTGTTCCTGGAGCTCAGTGAGTTGAACAAGGCATTCATTTGCCTCAGTTCAAACTGTTTTCATAAAAATTAAAAAAGTTACAGTCTCTGGGATTACAGCACCAAATGATCAGAGACATACTTTCACACACCCTCCTGCCCACCCCTGCTCCGAAGGTGAAGACACATTCCTGACATGCTTTCAGCTAAACAATCAAACGTGAGCCATCGTGTAGAAAACATGCAGCAACAACACATGCAAAACACTCACACATCAGTGACATTTACAATCGCAACAATAAGAGTGAAACCGAAACCTCTCACTTTTATCAAACATAAGAACGCAATACTTCCTTCAACACTTTATGAATCTGTGTGTAGGTGTGTGTTATTAAATATGTATATAGCCTACGACTAGATGTATGTCTGGTAAGGTATATTCATCTACATCCGCTACTGTGACCCTCTTTGCGTAAGCCTGCCTTAATAACGCAGCACCTTACGACCTCTCATACACCGTGCTTTGTTGTTTCACATGTACTCACTGCTGTATTGCTATTATAGTCTATATCTCTACTTTTTCAATAATACCTAAAAATCTGATACCACAGAAACCAGTTTATGCTAATTTAACATTTAGCTGGCGGATACAAGATGGCGGTCGCCGGCGGGCTGAGGATTCTGTTGCCATGGTAATGTAACCTGTCCCTGGAAAAGACTGAGCAAAGTGTGTCTTTGTAGTTTGGCGGTGACAATATGCTCCTGCCTGTGTGTGTGTGTGTGTGTGTGTGTGTGTGTGTGTGTGTGTGTGTGTGTGTGTGTGTGTGTGTGTGTGTGTGTGTGTGTGAGCCAAGCACAAGCAGGCTGCTGTGATTGAAAGTGGAAATGTTTGTGCACTCGCAGAGGGGACCCACCTGTCCCTTGAAGGCGTCGATGATAAAGTGCAGCGCGTGAGGCTGGACACACTCGATACACTTCTGCACCACGTGGTTACCGTTCTGGTCCTTCACACACTTCAGCACATGGCCGTCCAGCTCGCGCACCATCTCACTCTGCAGGGAGGATGGAGAGGGGAGAGAATGTGAGGGGGGGAGAATGTGAAGAGGGACATGTAATTGTTTGTGGGAAATCAAATATTGCCCGAAAGCATTTTGCAAACTCGCCATTTTTCACACAGCCCAACCAATAACAGTGGGCTTTAACAGCTGCCCTGGAGAAATATATTGAGGTCCATTAAGGAGAGATGGATCCCTTTCTCTCTCTCTCAAACACACAACCTGTCCCCGAAACCACTGAATTTAAGCACAATTATTTCCTGTTGATATTCAGTGGCATTTATCTCAACACCTGCAGTGTAGCATTTGCATATAAACTGCAATATCATCAGCCTTATTCATTGTTGATGACAGAATGCCTACAAGGATCCTGCTGCTACAAGAGGCAGCTCTTACATGAAACCCATAATGTAAATGGAAAAAGACATTTTAGCATGAAGAGCGCACCTATTGATGCAGTGTTCCGCTATATAAAAGAGAAATTAGTTATCCATTAGCAGTAGTATACCCTCATTCAAGGCTGAATGATGAGCACATGGATAGTAAAATACTTTACAATTGAGACAAAGATGTTTGGAATTTCTTCTACAAGTAAAAAGCCAGAATTACAGCAGGGCTATGTCAGGAAGGGTGAAATAAAGGTTGTTTTACTAATAAAATAAAAAGGCACTGTCACCTTGGCACATTGTTACTTTCACACAGAGCAAAGAGAACTAGTGTACTTACAATGACCTGCTGGTCGGAGGGGATGAACTCCAGAGCTTTCTGAATGACCCTGCAGCCGTACATCTGCAGAGCCAGAGACAGCACATGACCTCTGATCCGCTCTGCCAGAGCCAGCTTCTGGTCCAAGCTGCCAAACTGAAAAAACACCAAACAAAAAAGCTTCTAAATCCTCTAATCTATTTTATAATACACCCCACAATTACATGTAGATTACACCGGCTACAAAGCACCTAGAAATCAGGTGTAGTTCCAGAGATGTCCCAATTAATTCAAATCAAGCGCGTTGTACAACTCAGACTTTTCCCACTGCAAACTAAAACTCACTTGGTGAAGCAGAACATTTGTAATCAACCTAAAAAACAGAAAGGATAAATACATGGAATTAAAGTACATACCTCAAAGAACTTCTGGATGACATAATTTCCAAAGACGTCCACCATAAGCTGGTAGGCGGCCTGCAGGATCTCGCTGAAGACGAGCTGGCGCTCCGCTGAACTGGCTCGCTCCAATTTCAACTGGATAAACCTGTTAGAGGCAGAGGATAAGCCTTATATTAACCTCATATACCTTGCTATGTTATTCATTTCCTTTAGCTTTAGCAATGTATAAAAGCCTCCTGAGAAAGTGTGCTTTCTGAAACCCTATCAGTTTGCTGAGTGGATTCTCAAAGTTTGGACGAACTTGAAGACTGGGACAAATGAGAACATCAGACAGTGACAGAGCTTTAAAGTGAAACAGATGTACAGGCGGAGAGAGATCTGCTCATATATCTTTAACCTGAGGGAACAGGCAGACACAAGGAGATGAAAGTCAGAGTGGAGAAAAGACAAGAACAAGCAGCCTGTGAGGTGAAGTGACGGATGCCAGGCAAAAAGCAGAGATAAAAAGTTCAGTGATGTTGACGAGACTGAGGAACGAAAACGTCTGGAATGTGCAGACTGGACGTCATGGTGTATTTATAGATCCTTTCAGTGGAAAAGTGCCCCTGCCCCCAAATTGCCCTCTGGATTGTACCACACATAGCGGTATAGATTGTAACATTTGAATGACATGTTTGTTCTGTTTTTAATTCTAATACTGAGAATATCAATCCTGAAGAAGCAATATGAAAGACCAAACTGTGTATATGTATACCAGTATATATCGAGCATGAACCTGGAAAATATACTGTATGGTCGTATATAAAGTGTGAGGGCTGTAACGTGGAAACAGTGCATGTTGAGCATAACAAGCATGAACTTTGATCCAGTTCTCAACTTTGAACTTCACAAATTGTTGAAGAAATGTGGTGAATCTTTGTTGCCAACTCAAACAGTATTTTAGTGTCTTCATGATTGTCTCCTGTGACTGTCAGAGAAAAACAACTTCATGTTTGAGAGGACAATTATAACAGCTTGCTTTGAAAACAAAACACATGCTCTGCGAAACTAGTAACATCAGTTTTGAAAGCTTGAAGAAGAAAACGTTTGAGGATCTAATAAAAAGCACTTGAGTAGCATTATTGCAATGATAGGAGAATTTATCTTGCCCATTCTGACACAGATTGCACTTAAGATCTTCTTAGACCTTGGCACTGTGTGACACGCACTGAACGTGCAAGATCACTGTTATTCCACGGTGAATAGGAGCCTTTAGTCATCTTATTTTATTGGCATGTAGATTTACATCCAAGATGAAAGACTAGGTGGTCTAATTGGGATATACTTGCTTTTTCTCTACTTTGTATTCCCAGTGAACTCTACTTTGCCTGTGTACCTGCTGCCGTGCTGGTCCTGGCTGAACTCCATGATATGGCCAGCGATGTCTCTGAGCTGCAGGTTGGGGTAGCGGTTGTTCCTGAAGTCCTCCAGCAGGCGGCTGCGGCCTGACGGCATCACGTCTGACATGCCGTAGCGTAGCCGTGACGACGGGAACAGCTGGCTGCTGGGTGAGAAGAGGGAGGAGCCTGAGCTGGCGGCACTGCGGTACTTGGCCTCTGCCCCTGGAGCTGCAGAGATGAAACGCCCACTGCCATTAGTCAGGCCTCCTGTGGAGCGGGAGAGAATAGGGAGGTGTATGTTAGAGCTGGCACTGACGCTCATAGCCCAAACGCTCCTAGATCTCAAAAAAGGACAGAATACAAAGACAATGCTTCTTTTTTAAACAGAAAGAAAATCTTTTTTTTTCTAATATACATCATCAATCTGTGACATGTATATATTATAGTGGCAAAAACATGCAATGCGTGGGAATTCTATTTACATGTATATACACTTTTTTTTTGTATTTTATTATATATGTTGCATTGTTGGAGGAGCTCAGGTCAGAAGAATTTCATTGCCATTTCTACACAGTAGATTTGTGCATATGACAATAAAACCTTTGAATTGAATTGTATTTCAAATGAACTTTGTTACATGGTTTGTCCATTTTTTTTAAACTGGAGGGAAAATGTTTTACAGAATTTTACAGAATTTGAAACGCTGCCTCAATGATTACTTGCATGGCTTTACAGATATTCTTTTTTTTTTTTTTTTTTTTTTTTAATTGATTACACCACTACTAAAATTTAAAATCATGAAAATTACATTAAAGCTTTGCAGCACGGAAACATAGCATTGAAGGGAAGCACTGCCTCATGTTCTTTAATGTATTCAGCTGCATTAGATAATGTTGTATAATGAAATTGAGTCTAACAAATGATATTAAAAGTGTTTAAAAGTAAATGAGCGCAAGACAAATCAGATTAAGTGATCTTAAATAACTTTAGTCCCATGTGGTAACAACACATCCTAGAAATTGTTGCAGAGTGCGGTGCACCATTGTTTTCCTAGTGATGTAAACAAATACTCCAGTAAAGTCTGTACACCAAGTAGTTGAGAGTATCAGAGCAAGGTTTCCTGCCTTTCAAGCGCTTCCATTTCCTTTAGCTTCAATCTGTATAGTATAACATCTCCAATGACTTTGCTATGCCAAAGCAGGAAATCAATATCACAAGTCATCATCAAGCCTCAACTTGGCTGTCAGTTTGTTTGATTATTGTTTTGTGACACGTGAAAGTTTGTATACATTTCAGTTTGTCAACTGTTTACCAAGGGAAAAACCAAATGTAATAATATTACAAAATAGATGTAGATGTGTCAACAACCAATTAATTGGCTACGATACCTCAGCAGGGCATCAACAGTAATGTCCTTTTTATGCATGGTACTCAGATATGAATCATATGCTGTTTATCAAGACCGATTTAGAAAATCCAGGTCCATGTGCTGAACCTCAAACTGATTCTGCCGTGGAGGCAACAGCATCTTTACACCCGTGTTAAACACCCTCACAACTAAGAGGTGCAGTAGATAAGTCCAATTAATACCCACAGTGGGTATGTTCTGGCACGTCAACATAAAGCTGGCTTTGTGTTCCATAAAGTCACAACAATGTAATTCAATCTATTCAGTCACTTGATCAAAGACACTTACCCAGGTTGAGGTTGGACGAGGAGCTGTGATTGGAAAGGGAAGGTGGGGGTGTGAGTGAATGCGAAGGGCCCTGGTTGGGGAGGGGCATGCCCACGGGGCCCGGTGAAGGACTGAAGCCCAAGGTACCGTTATAGAAACCTCCATGGCCAATCGGGGTGAGGCTGGAGGGGTTGCGTTTGTACAGCTCATTGTTGCCTGTCAGGGAGTCCCGCCTGGAACCGCTGCCACCACTCGAGTTGGCCACTAGAGGGAGACAAATATACAAGTTAGATTATCAGAACTAACAGTGGAATGCTGATCTACTGTTCATTTAATTGGAACAGCTTTATTAAGTAAAAGCTTATTATTTAATCTAAAGCTATGAAACAAAACAAAAAAACATGTCGACCTCAGAATAACATAGACTCCAGCAGAATACTGTTTAGTAAAGGTGATTCCTACCTGCAGTGCCGAAGCCTCCCAGCGAGGCCCCGAGTGAGGATGAGGCCTGCTGGCTGAAGCCCAACGATGCAGAACCTGGTCCGGGTTGGCCAGAGCCTTGTGAGAAAAGGGAGGAACTCTGGGAGGAGGAGCTGAGAGAGGAGGAGCCGTAGAAGGAGCTTCCTCCCAGAGCGCCGCCCGGGCCGCCCTGCTGCTGAGCCTGCTGGGACTGCATGGCACGAAACGGACCGCTGGACCCGCCCAGACCCCCGTTGGCACCACCTGCAGAGGCTGCTGCTGCTGCAACTGGAGGGAGAGACAAAGGAATAAGTGATTCCATTCTGGACCAGCAGTGTATGCTTTTTAACAACTTTGAGTAAAAAAAGTCATACTAGATTAGTGTTTTATAAGTAGCACAAAGAGCATGGCAGTCAGGTTCTCCAGGGTTAAGATTACTTTAATGCTCACGCCTTACAGGCCACGAAATCAGACGGACCGACCGGAAATAAAATAACATATTTCTCGTTTAGAATTTTAGTGCGTAGAGATAATAGTGCAATAACAACATCGTTATTTGAACGGGGAAGAGTATCATCTTGTAGATTTAACGTAAAGCTGCATTCCCCCTTTACTAAATTATTCTTAACAGCACTGACTCATGGGAACTGCTTGTAAAAGCTAAACTTGAACGTATAGTCTCAATCTCTAAATTGCATGTGCTGGATGAATGGGTCTTTCTGGACATGTTTTTAAAGACCACAATGTGCCATCTGTTGTTTTGTGTGCACAAAATCCTGCTTTGTCCTGCAGACCTTTACATACACGGCTGTCTTACCTGCTTGTGCTGCGGAAGGAGATATGATGACGGAGCCGGGGGCCATGAGGCGGACCGGGCCGTTCCTGCCTCCAGTGTTGACCACCAGGGCCCCTGTCTGATCATAGTAGGCTGCAGGGGCCAGGACTGGGTAGCCTGAGTGAGAGAGACCAAAACAGGAATATTTAAAATGTAGCTTTACCGAATTTAGCTTGTCCTTGTTACATGTAGCATTATGAGTGTTACACATATGAGTGTTTGTGACTAAACAGTTGTACAAGTAAGCTGTCTGAAAATGTTGCTGCAATACCAACGCAATGGCCATTTTTCCAGAGTAATAAAACCGGTTTTGCAGAGTTTCTTTCTTACCTGGGACTCCCGCTGCTAACCCCTGCCCAAAGGCGAGGGCTGAGTTGACTGCTGCTGCTGCAACCAGCTGGTCATTCTGCTGATTCTGTTGACCTTGGCTGGGGGTCAAAGGCCGCTGGTTGCCCCCACCACGCATTACCTGTATAAAAAAAAGAAAAACAAAAAAGCATATTAATTGTCATCACAAATATGCAAATTAATATAAAACCAGTGCTCCAAAATCTGTTTCAAAGCAGAGAACCTGTGGTGTGCAGTAGACATACGTTTCCATCATGGTCACATTCAACTCTAGTTAATGTCTTAAACAGTGTGCTCACACAGAGAGATAAATGAGCCAGAAAAGGAGACGATCCTTTTTATTAGCATATGAGCAAAGCAGGAGTAAATAAGCAGTTGTATGAAATATTTCCGGCCGAGTAGTTTATAATCCAAAAACAGGCTGCAACAAGTTCTCAGCTTTTAGATCCGAGCAGAAGTAAGACCCAATGCACATTTCATTTGGCACATCAGGAGGCAGATACATCTTGAGCCACTGGCAATCAGCATGCCAGTTTTTTGGCAAGCAGCCGACTGACCTGCTGTTGGTTTTGCTGGTTCTGGTTTGCCGCCTGCTGATTGGCCGAGTTGTTGGCTGCTGCAGCTTGCTGCTGGAAAAGGCTGGCAGGATAGACCCCCCAGGGAGTCACACCATAGTACTGAGGAGGCATCACTGCCGGACCTAGTCGCAAATAAATATGTATAATACAGTAAGGATAGGACAACTGTGTTTATGTATGCAATAACTGTAGCAAATAAATTCACAGGAGTGTTGGTAAATCTTTTCAATAGAATCTTAATGGCCTCGGGGTCCATTTCAAAAACATACCGAGTGTAGCTGCTGCTGCCAGTCCGGCTGCGTAGGGGTCTGTCCCTGGAGGGGCCGCACTGATGATGTAAGGGTTGGGCACAAACGCTGGGGCCAGACCTGAGAACACATGGAGGGGAAAGGAGAACCAGGCGCCAAAGGTTTTACATAACTCATGGAAGAAATGTACAGAGGTTCCTACAAAGAAAGCTTCAAAACACAAGATGACCACTTCAGGGCTTACACCATCAACACTGTCATTAAGATTCTAGATACTAATCAAAACTAGAGAATGCAATTCCTGAAGAAATTGCTAGTGGGAATGCTTTATGCTGAAAATCTGATGCTAAACTGCTATGCTGAAATGTAATGTGTAAGAAGAAAGTGAAGAATTTAGATTGAAATGATACATGAACACTGGGGGCTTGAATGTGTGATGAGAGAAGAAAAGAAAGTAAAAAGGCTTGGAAAAGCAGCAGAATATTTGAACTGCAAACTTCTGAACTAACTTGATGGCGAATGATCTGTCGCCATGGCAACGACATTTGACGACACCCCACAATACGCTTAGATGCGTTGATGGCTGCATCATTACCAAACCTGTGAAGTTTTGGGGCGTTTCGAGCAGTTTCACTGAAGTTATGAGAAAACCGTGTTTCATGGCGAGCATTGTGTTGCCATGGCAAATCTCAAAACTGTCCAGTAGATGTCTTCACGGCCGGACTGTTAATACACATGTGAAGTTTGAGCACTTTTTGAACATGTTCATAGGAGTTATAGTGACATCATGTTTTATGGCGAGGGATGCGTTTCCATGGAAACGGCATATGGTGAGATCTCAGATTTGGCGTAGAGCTGTTGAGGCATGGACCGGTGATATACAAGTGAAGATTGGGGGACGATTGGACCGTGTCCATTGGACTTATAGCAACATCATGTTTTATGGCGAGGGATGCGTTTCCATGGAAACGGCATATGGTGAGATCTCAGATTTGGCGTAGAGCTGTTGAGGCATGGACCGGTGATATACAAGTGAAGATTGGGGGACGATTGGACCGTGTCCATTGGACTTATAGCGACATCATGTTTTATGGCGAGGGATGCGTTTCCATGGAAACGACATATGGTGAGATCTCAGAATTGGCGTAGAGCTGTTGAGGCATGGACCGGTGATATACAAGTGAAGATTGGGGGACGATTGGACCGTGTCCATTGGACTTAAAGCGACATCATGTTTTATGGCGAGGGATACGCCTCCCTCCATTTTTCATTATACAAGTGAAGATTGGGGGACGATTGGACCGTGTCGATGGGACTTACAGCCACATCGTGTTTCATGGCGAGTGGTCCGTCGCCATGGCAACGGCATTTGATGACACCCCATACTACGCTTAGATGCGTTGATGGCTGCATCGTTACCAAACCTGTGAAGTTCTAGGCTGTTTGGAGTATTTTCACTGAAGTTATGAGAAAACCGTGTTTCAAAACGTGAAGCATGTCAAGGAAGTTGAGTATCTGAAGTATAATTTTTGTGTAGTTTCGGGTCAATAATGTGGCCTTTTTGGCAGTTT